CCCTCTCCCCTCTCCCCTCTCCCCTCTCCCTTTCTCCCCTCTCCCTTCTCCCCTCTCCTCTCCCCTCTCTCCCCTCCTCCCATCTCCCCTCTCCCCTCTCCCCTCTGCCCTCTCCCCTCCTCCCCTCTCCCCTCCTCCCCTCTCCCCTCTCCCCTCTCCCCTCTCCCCCAACGCATGGTTTCTTGATTTAACGAGTGTTTTCTATCCTCCAGCTAGCGCGCCTTGTCCGGCACACCCCGACCGTCCTTCCATCTCGTCTGTGCCAATGCCTCTGGCCCCAACCAACCACCCTTTACTCTCTCACTCTGCCACTCACTGCCCATCTGCTCACGCGCACTCTATGTGTCCATGTGCCTTTCCTCGCTACCCTGCCGCCGTGCCACACCATCACCATGCCCCCAGCATGGCAGTTCGTGCAACTGTACCTGGTGAGCGTGCAACTGTACCTGGTGAGCGTGCACCACTTTACTTTGCCTTATCTTGCCACCTTCCCCACCCCCCCTCACCCACGCAGGACACACAGCTGTACGTGGGCAGCATGCAGGACACACAGCTGTACGTGGGCAGCATGCAGGACACACAGCTGTACGTGGGCAGCATGCAGGACACACAGCTGTACGTGGGCAGCATGCAGGACACACAGCTGTACGTGGGCAGCATGCAGGACACACAGCTGTACGTGGGCAGCATGCAGGACACACAGCTGTACGTGGGCGACCCACTCAGGCTGTTGTGCTCGCCCGCTCTGCCTTCACTGCCACCGCCACCTCATTCTTACCCTGCCCTGCCATGCCAGGTGATTCTTTTGCCACCATCCACGTCACGTCACCATCCACGTCGCCTTGTGCTCCCAGCACCCCCTCAACCGCCTTGTTGCACATGGGCAGTGAACAATGTAGCCCCCTTTCCCCGCCCCATCCTCGCCTCTCCAGCCTCACCTGCTCTCAATGTACGCCCACTGCCTCACCTGCACTCAATGTACGCCCACTGCCTCACCTGCACTCAATGTACGCCCACTGCCTCACCTGCACTCAATGTACGCCCACTGCCTCTGCATGCTGCCTGCTGCCATGGGCTTTGCCTTGCGACGCCAGGAGACAGTGTGCGGGGCACGGCAGCAGGCAGCATGCATGTGATGCGACACCCACCGAGGCCGCAGGTGCGCTTCTCAGCGTCCTCATCTATTGCTCTGCCGCTACAGTGGGCGCGCTACAGTGGGTGCGCTACAGTGGGCGCGCTACAGTGGGCGCGCTACAGTGGGCGCGCTACAGTGGGCGCGCTACAGTGGGCGCGCTACAGTTGATGCTAGCGTAGGTGTCGTTTATCCGTCTTGACTCATTCCTGTCTGCCCCTGGCCTCTCCCTCCGTCCCTCCCATCCCGCATGCACTCCCCGCATGTACACCCGCCATGCCCACGCCATCAAAGGACAGCCCACGCCATAAGCCACCGTCATCTGCTGTGTATCTGACAGAGCTCGTGAAGGACGAGCTGCTTCATCATACCCACACCCTCGCGCCCTGCGCCGCACACATCTTGCCGTCTGTCAAATGCACGCCAAGGGCGCACCCCATGCCAAGGTGCGCCCTACCATGCCAAGGTGCGCCCTACCATGCCAAGGTGCGCCCTACCATGCCAAGGTGCGCCCTACCATGCCAAGGTGCGCCCTACCATGCCAAGGTGCGCCCTACCATGCCAAGGTGCGCCCTACCATGCCAAGGTGCGCCCTACCATGCCAAGGTGCGCCCTACCATGCCAAGGTGCGCCCTACCATGCCAAGGTGCGCCCTACCATGCCAAGGTGCGCCCTACCATGCCAAGGTGCGCCCTACCATGCCAAGGTGCGCCCTACCATGCCAAGGTGCGCCCTACCATGCCAAGGTGCGCCCTACCATGCCAAGGTGCGCCCTACCATGCCAAGGTGCGCCCTACCATGCCAAGGTGCGCCCTACCATGCCAAGGTGCGCCCTACCATGCCAAGGTGCGCCCTACCATGCCAAGGTGCGCCCTACCATGCCAAGGTGCGCCCTACCATGCCAAGGTGCGCCCTACCATGCCAAGGTGCGCCCTACCATGCCAAGGTGCGCCCTACCATGCCAAGGTGCGCCCTACCATGCCAAGGTGCGCCCTACCATGCCAAGGTGCGCCCTACCATGCCAAGGTGCGCCCTACCATGCCAAGGTGCGCCCTACCATGCCAAGGTGCGCCCTACCATGCCAAGGTGCGCCCTACCACGGCCAGATCAGGTGCATTGGTTACCGTGCTGCATTGGTTACCGTGCTACATTGGTTACCGTGCTGCATTGGTTACCGTGCTGCATTGGTTACCGTGCTGCATTGGTTACCGTGCTGCATTGGTTACCGTGCTGCATTGTCGGGCACAGATGAGGACAGTGAGCACAGCCATGCTGCCCACCGCAGTAGCAGCAGTGATGCAACAGGTGGCCGCACCGGTGGTGGGAAGATGGGCATCAAACTAATGTAGGGAGCGCGCACTGCAGGTGGCAGCTTGGCAGGTGGGGAAGGTGGAGGGGATGAGAGTTGGAGGCGCAAGGGGTTGGGGTGCTGCAGGGAGGGGGTGATGGAGATGCGGCAAGGGGCGAGGGTGAGAAGGTGGAAGATTTGCCTCAGATGGATGCTGCAAAGGAGGACGAGGGGGGAGGGGGTGGTGCAGGCAGCGTGGGCCAGGGCAATGTGGGAATCAGACGGGCGAGGAGACTGCTGGGAATGGGAGGCGGTGCTGTGGAGGGACTTGAAGGGGGTGTGTTGCGCTTGTGGAGCGAGCAGCAGCAAGGGGGGACGAGGAGTGAGTGGGGGGCAGGCGAGTGGTGGAGGTGGCATGGGGGGGTACGATGCGCAGGGAGGTGCATGTGATGCTCATGTTCGAGCGCGTCCCACACGTCACGCTCACGCTGCTGCCGCCCACTGGTGCCGCTGCTGATGGCACACAGGAGGGCCGGTATGTACCTTGTGAGAGTGCTGAGAGCCTAGACAGGCAGCTGTCTCTGTGCCGTCTACACCTAGAAAAGGGGATTACAAGGATGGTTTGTCCTGAGAGATATCTGTACATGTTGATTACCTATGCTCCATCCAAAGTTGTGCGCTCCACTCAAATGGCACCCTTGATGTTTTGTTACCTATATATGGAGTGACATATTGCATCCATGCAATTGCAATTTCTGCTAACCGTAATCGCCCGGATAAAAGTCGCTAGGGTCTTATGATATTTCCAAAAACAAAACCTGGGGGGTCTATAGTGTATGATTTTTATAAGACCCGGGTATAAATTGAAGTACTTTATTTTAAAGGATGTAATGAAATGCCAGCATGTTGTAGATGTTTGCCCTGTTTGTAACAATGTCACAGCCCACGAGAATGTGATTGTTGAGGGTTCCTGGCAGGGCGGACGCTATCGGACTAAATAGTCTGATTAGTATGACGAATCATACCTACCGTATTTTCCCGGACAAAACACCCCTCGAAATTGTAGACCCCCGGGGTAGCTTGTGCGGGATGGCTGTTACAGGCGACCTCGTTTGTACTATACCCCCCTTTTTGGTTGATTTTTTAAAACATCCCCTTTTCTTACACATTCCTTATTATAGATGTTAACGAGTAGGTGCAAGTACGGGAGGATATCGCGAGAATCTCTCCCTCGATGAAATTTTGCGGTTCTTTCACTTCCAATTTGCCGAGATTTCCCCCTTCCCACTATTTCGATGTCGCCACGCGCTGGTGAATCTTCCGTTGCAAGTGGCCAGAGCGGTGCCACATGGCATTTTCGAGGGGGTGATGACGTTCACGTCGAAACTCACATTCGCGCCTCAACCTGTGATGTTAAAACTACCATGAAAACACTCAAGTTGTCTACTTAAAAAACGTCTTACACTAAAATATACCATATATGTCCACCCGGGTAATATGTAGCTTATTCCTATGAGGAAACCCCGCCCATATTTTCCCTGTATTTTTAGCTATACCCTAGGGTGTTATGTCTGGGAGAATACGGTATGACTTGATGTCCCCTGACTTATCATATTAAGTGATTTCAAAACTTTGAGTTCATAGTAATATTTTTTCCATCCCTGTTCTTGTGTATAGTGTATCAGACTTATCGGTTAGTGAATTATGTCTTAGCATAGTATCGATTCTGTGGGCCCTGAATGCGAGTTTATCGGGACGAAGGTTCCCCAAAATTTCCTCCCGATATACACCTCCGAGGTGGCAGTGGAGTGCCAGCACGTGTGAAAAGCAAACATCACGAGGTGGGGGACACCCGAGTGTCAAACTATATACATGTTTGTTGTTTAGGCTGTAGTGGGGTAGCCCATAGAGGGTACAACCCATTAGGGCTAGTACTTGTACTGAACATCCATGTTAGTCAACAATTCCGTTGTTCTCACATTCTGACATGGTATCAGTCGCTAGGTTAGGTCCGTACCTACCTCGTTTCCCGTGCCTGCCCCGCGCCCTGCTGCCCCGTGCGCCCCGCGCCCCGCGCGCCCTGCTGCCCCACGCGCCCCGCGCCCCACACGCCCTGCTGCCTTGCGCGCCTCACGCGGCCTGCTGCCCTACGCGCCCCGCACGTCCTGTTGCCCTGCGCGCCCCGCGTGCCCTGCTGCACCGCGCCACGCGAGCCCTGTTGCCCCGCTCGCCCTCCTACTCCGCGTGCCGCGCACCCTGCTGCTCTGCGCGCCCCGCGCGCCTTGCTGCCCCGTGCCCTTGCGCGCCCTGCTGCCCCACGCCCCGTGCGCCCTGCTGCCCCACGCACCCCGAGCACCCTGCTGCCACGCGCCTGCCCGTGCATTACTCCGCGCGCCGCGCCTGCCCGCGCGCGCTGCCGCGCCGCACCTGCTCGTCTTCTACCGCTGCATCGGCCGCCACTGCTGCAGCCGCAGCCCCTGCCATTGCTGCCCCTGCAACTGCCGTTGCAGCTGCCGCCGCCGCAGTCGCTACTGCCGCCCTTGCGCCGCTGCTGCTGACTGCCATTGCCTGTCATGGCGACTATCACTGTCTTAGCGGTTGACGTAGACGGACGCCCTTTCAAGTTAGGGTTGTGGCTTGCATGCCTGGGCATGTATCTCCGCCGTTTCATTAGAGATGGTGTCTACCTGTTCTACCACACGTCGGGGTCCCTTCAGGCTCCCACGACTCCCAATGAGCCTGCTGCTGACGTTGGCGAGGACATGCAGTGGCGGTACTGGGCGGACCGCGTTGCCTGCACATAGTGGACGGAGCGCGACGCTATTGTACAGCTTGTTGTCCGAGCTCACCTGGCGTTCGACCAGAGGGCCCACTTTTGTCAAGTGACGTCGGCCCAGAATGTTACGACAATGTGGTTAGACATTACTCCTCCCTCTCTCCCGCCACCCGGCCACTCCGGCAGTGACGTCCGTTGTTAGGGGAGGTGTAGCAGCTAGTCGAGGAGGTGAATGTAGGTACCGGTGAGTCTGCTTGTACAGGTGGTGCCGCTGGTGGAGGCGGAGGTTCTGGGGGTGGACAACAGCGGCGGCAGCGTCAGCCTGAGACCCTCTCGTCGCAGCAGCTTCGGGAGTGAAGGGGATGCTAGTCTAGGTGCTTGTGAGTCTACTAGCAGAGGTGCTATTCCGGCGGAGGCTTTGCTCACCTTCACGCTGGACTCTGGCGCGTCTCGCTGCTTTTTCCGCGACTGCACGACCGTCACACCACTCACCACAACTATCCCTCTCACTCTGGCTGACCCCTCCTCTGGCCTGCTCATTGCACGTAATTCCAATGTTCTCCCATGTCTGGCAGTCCCCTCTGGTTCCCTCACAGGATTCCACCTCCCCTCGTTCGTTACAAACTTGGTGAGTAACACTGTCCTCGAGGATCACTTGGTCACTACCATCACTTCTTGATGCGAGCTTGTGGCGATGTGTACGGACTCAGTGACTGGCGACCACCTCGCCACGTTCACTCGAAGACCTGGGTCTGGCCTGTACAAACTGCACATTGAGTCTGCACAGTTGGCCGCGCCCGGTAAGGTAGCTGGGTCTTGCTCGTGTCGGTTACTCACACACCCTTTTCTCCTCTGGCACCACGGTTTTGGTCACCCCTCCCTGCAGCGTCTGCGTCGCATGCACTCGCATCTTCTTGCCTCTGGCCTCCCGAGGTCCCTGCCCCTGCTGCCGCCGTCGCTTGCGCAGCCGTGCACTCCTTGCGTCGAGGGGCGGTAGCGCGCCGCTTCTCACTCCTTGTTCCCTCCAACCACTGCTCCTCTGCAGACCCTGCACATGGACGTGTGGGGCCCCGCCCCCGTCCATGGAATGGCCCGGGAGCGATACTTCCTGGTGGTCATCGACAACTACACGCGCTACACCACGGTGTTTCCCTTGCATCAGGGCGACGTCCGTCTAGTTAAGATCCCTTGGATCTACGCTGTTCGCCGTTAGGACCTCCCGGTGCTCCTTCTGCACTCTGACCGTAGAGGTGAGTTTTCCTCCGATCTTCTTGAGGACCTTTGTCGTGAGGACGGCATCACCCAGTCGTTCACGCTTCCGACTTCTCCACAGCTGAGTGGGATTGTTGAGCACCGCGTTGGCTTGGTCATGGAGGTTGCTCGCACCTCCATGATCCATGAGGTTTCTCCCCATTTTCTGTGGCCGTTTGCGGTCCGATACGCCGCTCATAAGCTCAACCTCTGGCCTCGTGTCTCCGAGCCAGAGACCTCGCCTACACTGCGTTGGAAGAGGAAGGTTGGCAATGCGACGGCGTTTCGGGTCTGGGGTTCGCTTGCCCTTGTTCGCGATACCACCGTGGACAAGCTCTCTCCTCGCACCGTTCGCTGCGTATTCCTTGGCTTTCCCACCAACGCGTCGGGCTGGCAGTTTTACCACCCGGCCATGCGTCGCGTCCTGTCCTCCCAGGACGTCACCTTTGACGAGTCGGTTTGCTACTACCATCTCCTCCCCCACGTGTCTTCTCCTGTCCTCCCACCGCCCCTCCTCCTGGATCCAGGTTACCCCCAAGTAGACCTCTACCCCCCCTCGCGTCCTGCTCCCTCAGGTGTGTCGCAGGTCACACCAACCCCCTTGGTTGAGCCTTTGGAGGTCTCCTCTGGCCCGGATGAGGGGGGTGACCCTGCTGCTGACGACACTGCGGACTCTCGCCGCTCCCCACACTTGGAGACCCCTCCTGGCTTTCAGCCTCGACCGTCTTCGCCGCCTCTGCAGCCTGTCGCTGTGGACTTCGGTGCTGCTAAAGGTGGTGGCGCTAGAGGTGTGAGCTCTGAGGGTGCTGACGCTGGAGGTACTGGTTCTCGGGATGTTGAGCCTGGGGGTGCTGAGCCTGGGGGTGAGCCTGGAGGTGTTGCGCCTGGCATTGGACAGCAACTGCCGTCACGTCAGCAGAAGACTCTCTCGCCGCTACAGTTGAGTCTGGGAGTGCTGGTTCTGGGGGTGCTGAGCCTGGGAGTGCTGAATCTGGGGGTGCTGAGCGTGAGGGTGCTGACACTGGAGGTATTGAGCCCATGGTTGCTAACTTTGGAACTAGAGGTACTAGAGGTACTGGAGCAGGAGGTGCTGGGGGTTCTTGTGCTAGAGGTGCTGGTACTGGAGGTACTGGAGATGAAGGTACTCGAGCTGGAGGTACTGGAGCTGGAGGTATTGGAGCTGGAGGTACTGGAGGTTCTAGTGTTGGGGGTGCTGTGCAGCCTGTGCAGCGGTGACCGTTTTTCTGGCCACAGCCGCAGTCGTCGCTGCCACCACCCACCTTGGCGCTTCGTCAGGTTTTCCCTCTTCCACTGGCCCTACTCCTTCCTTACTGGGTCCACCACCTGACTTGTCTCAGCCCCATTTACTGCCTGACTCCCCTCTGCGTGCTCCTTCTACTTACACTTAGCAGACAGACTCCCT